AAAAACAGACAATATAAAATCTTATAAACTTTACCTTTAAATTTAACATCCTTGTAATTATGTCATTCAGTTCATCAGAGTAACGATATGGAATTCTCCTGAATTTTCCTTCTCTGATCTTCCCAGCCAGTTCTTTTTGATTAAAAGCTGTAAATGGGGGCCTGAGACAGGAAACGGGGGCGGGGGGGAGGAGGTGAGGAGGTCGGAAAAGAAGAAGACACAATTAAAACTATGGAGGGGCTGGGAAGAGAGTGCTTGCCTTGCATGCATGAGGCCCTGGGTTCAATTCCTCAGCACCACATAAGCAGAAAAAAGCCAGAAGTGACACTGTAGCTCAAGTGGTAAAGCGCTAACCTTGAGCTGAAGAGCTGAGGGACAGCACCCAGGCCCAGAGTTCAGACCCTACGACAGGCAAAAAAAAAAAAAACAAACTAACAATGGAAACATACAGTACATAATAGGACCTGGATCAAGATCAAATGCACAGCTTAAGGACCAATCTGTATTTATGTTTGTAATGGGATTTTCTTTTATAACTAACTTTAGTAGTTCCTTGCCACTATCCATGTTGAGGGTTGAATAAGTTTTATTTGGGGATTGTCCTCTGTATTTTAAGGTATCTTGCAGATGTGAGGCCTCTAGTCACTAGATGCCAACAGCGCTCTCTAGTGGTGACAACAAAAAGTGTCTCTAGACAATGCCAAATGTCCCCATGAGAGCAAAATTGCTTTCTCATTCCCAGGAGAAAAATCACTGTTCCACAGAACAGTTCCAAAAGGGAAAACACAAAAAATAGGGAAGAATTAGATCTGGTCTCCAGATTTCCATGCTTTTCCCCTTGATCTTTGTTTCATTTCCTCTCTGCCCTTACAGTAGCTTTATGTGATTACCTGCCTGACCTATGAACTCTCCCCGTGGACTCAGCATCAGTCTAACCGGAAAGCAAACCAGTCAAGACCCTTAACAAATGAGGACCAGGACTCCTAGGTCACAGTTTTCATTTATATATAGTTATTTTTAAAAATCTGTCCTTCTCCTTTAAGAGTTTTATAATCTTTTAGACTTGAGTATGTTTTTATTAGCATGGATGCTCAAAAGGCTGAACCACTAGAAAGTGTTGAGTAGTTAGTTGCAAACTTAAAACTGGGCATCAAACAATGTCATACTTACATTAATGCACACAGTTCATACAGCAAACAACCCAATGACCAGATATCGGATTTCTCATTGTAAGACATGCGATTTATTTGTTCCTAGATGAAAAGAAAGGTGAGGGAGTGAAAAGGTAACACTTTATTTTATTTTAAAGCTTAAAATACACCTGAGATCTAGTGCCTGTGCTCACAGCTGTAATCCTAGCTCCTCAGTAGGCTGAGATCTGAGGATCGCAGTTGAAAGCCAGCACCACAGAAAAGTCTGTGAGACTCTTATCTCCAATTAACCACCAGAAAACCAGAAATGACACTGTGGATCAAAGTGGTAGAGTGCTAGTGCCCAGGCCCTAAGTTCAAAA